ATTGTAAACAGTACTTTTATGAGCAAACAGGTGCAGATGTCACTATGACTATACTTTTTTGCCTCTCTGGGATATATTCCCAGGAGTGGTATTGCTGGGTCAAATGAGAGCTCAATTTATAATGCTGTTGCACTTTTGAAGCTGTGTATTCTTGGAGGCTACTGACTGGTTGATGGTACGTAGACGGTCTAAGATGTTTAAGTATAACGTTACAAACACTTCATTTAAAAAGCCTTTAAACTTTATTTAAAAACCGTGCTTTACAAACTTGTTTATAATATAGTTGTTATGGGCATTCAGTATTCCAAAACAAATTCCCCCTCCAGTATCACCTTCCCTCCACCATTGTCCCCAGTTTCCCAACCGCCCCACAAGCCTGCTCTTTTAGTAGGCACGGAATAATTTATTTTATATTGCTTGTTAAAACTAAATGACTAATGGAATGATCAAAAAATACTTCAGTAAAAGAAAATTTGTGATAATTGTTAAGTCTCACCATGGGATCATTAAGTCCTTGTCTGAGGACTTAACAAAGCTGTTTGTTGCTATTTGAGCCTTCTGTGTTACTGTTTCTGTTGATTTGCTCTTCCTTGGCCTCTATTTTACTTTCCTGTCTTATTTGGTGGGATCCTATTGGGCTATCAGTATTGTGAAATTTAAAGGGTCTGTAGACAAGCCTCCAGATCCCCGCCAGGTTGTTACGTCTTGGGCAACCCAGAGGGGGCGGGTGAGGTCCCCTCCCACCCCAGTGAAGCCAGTAGCTGAAAACCTCCAGAACTCAATGTCTGTCATGCTCACGGCCTGCTCTCCTTGGGCAAGTCTCACCCATGAATCAGTCTATTCCAGGACATCTCATACTTTATACCACTGATATACCAAGAGTATCACAGCATATTTGATGGGGTTTTAAGTAGAAGTCAACTGATCTTAGTGGATAATGTATTCATACAGATGTGTGTGTGTGTGTGTGTGTGTGTGTGTGTGTGTGTGTGTGTATATTTAGTGGGCTGGAGCGATAGCTCAGCGGTAGGGTGTTTGCCTTGCATGCAGCTGGCCCGGCTGAGCTGGGTTCGATTCCTTCGCCCCTCTTGGAGAGCCCGGCAAGCTACCGAGAGTATCTCGACCACACGGCAAAGCCTGGCAAGCTTTCTGTGACGTATTCAATATGCGAAACACAGTAACAACAAGTCTCACAATGGAGACGTTACTGGGCCCGCTCGAGCAAATCCATGAACAACGGGAGGACCATTACCGTAATGTGTGTGTGTGTGTGTGTGTGTGTGTGTGTGTGTGTGTGTGTATGCAAGGCTCAACCTTTAACAACATGTTACTAATCTCTTACAGAAAGGTTTAATGGCTCCTGGGTGAAATACAACAATCTTCCCACACTTTGCTCTGAAGAACCTTTTCTGTCTCATTTTTAATGGATTATTCATAACAAGCAACAAAAAAATAAATTATTTCGGTTCTGCTTTGGGGGCAGGGTTTGGGGTTTGGGATGGAAACATTTGAAATATGGTGGCAGGAAGGTGTAATGGTGGTGGGATTGGTGTTCGACTATTAGATGTAATCAAATATTGTGAACAACTTTATAAAAATTTAAAAAAGGGTCTGTAGTTTATAGTGCCCAGAAAGGGGAGGGGATGTGGAGGGGAAGGGGGGGGGAGAGACAGAGACAGAGACAGAGAGACAGAGACAGAGAGACAGAGAGAGAGACAGACAGAGACAGAGAGAGAAAGAAGAGAGAGACAGAGAGAGAGACAGAGAGAGAGAGAGCCAGAGAAAGGCAGATAAAGAGAGAGAAGAACAGTGGGACAGGGGCCCAGGGGGACCCCATGGCAGGGAATCTACGGACATTGGTGATGGGAAATGTACACTCGAACATTATGATTGGAGCCCAATCAAGAACAACTTGTAACTGTGATTCTCATGGTGACTCAATGAAAAAAATAAAAATTAAAAAAAAATAAAGGGTCTGGAAAGCTGTACTGCTGAGTGGCGGCAGCTGTGGGGTGTGGGTGTGACTGGGACTCTGCCTGGTCCCCTCCTGAGGGTCCCCCTCCGCCCGAAGACCGCCGTGCCTGCACTTCTAGTGCCTTGGCATGCATCTATTCCGAGAGTTAGCCATGAATTTCTGGAGCTGGGCCGATGGAGGAGTTTCCCTGGTGTGAGCTGTGCAGTGTCAAGAGGGAGAGTCTTTTGTGGATGGTTACTTATGGTTCATCTCTCTGTTCCGGTACTACGCTAGAATCTCAGTGATGAAAACTTTAGGCTTTGTTTTTTAACTCCTCTCTGGAGAAAGAAAGTACTTCTCGCTCCATAAACCTCACCTAAGGGAATTATTTCTTTAGCACTGAGTTGTTCGGTTTTGGCTTTATTTGGGAGGAATTAGGGTAGAGACATCAGGTAGTGCCTGTGTTTTAACTTCTGAACTTGGGTCCGGTTAAGGATTGAGACGAGAGTCAGACCCACAATGGCCCAAAGAGCATCAGATTCTGGGGTCAGAGTGATAGTACAGTGGGTCGGGCGTTTGCCTTGCATGCGGCCCACCTGGGTTTGATTCCTGGCATCCCATATGGTCCCTCGAGCACTGCCAGGAGTGACTCCTGTGTGCAGAGCCAGGAGTAACCCCTGTGCATTGCTGGGTGTGACCCAGAAAAGCAAAAAAAAAAAAAAGAGCATCTGATTCTGACAAAGTGGATCGGAGCTTGTGTCTTAGAGTTGTGATTCGATGGTTTTCAGGCATCAGAAGCTCCTTCTTCTGAGGAAGCAGAAGCATGTGGGATTGAATTTTCCAGGGAAAGCTTATGACCGTTACTATCTGAACGCTATTATAGATTAGTGTGGTAAAAGCCTTCTGAAACTAACAGTTTAATTTGATGTTCTACCGCGATGGGTTGATTGGAAAAAAAAATGAAAGAAAATACTGCCCTTTCAGCTCAAACTTTTTTTCTTAATTTAAAGATTTGGGTTATGTGCTGTTTGTCTGTATAAAAATAACCCATGTGATAGTATGGCTGTGCTCAGGGCTTAGTCCTGACTCTGTGCTCAAGGATCACTGCGTATTGAGGCTCGGGGGGGATGGACCATATGAGGTGCTGGTGGTCAAAGCCGGGTCTGCCACATGCAAAGCAAGCATATGAATGATACGAAGCTCTCAGGTATTCTTGGTAACCAGTGACCGGTTGTGATGGGCATTCAGCGTTTATTTATTTATTTATTTATTTATTTTGCTTTTTTCTGGAGGGGTCACATCCGGTGATGCACAGGATTTTCTCCTGGCTCTGCACTCAGGAATTACTCCTGGTGGTGCTTGGGGGACCATATGGGATGCTGGGAATCGAACCCAGGTCGGCCGCATGCAAGGCAAACACCCTACATGCTTTGCTGTCGCTCCAGCCCCACATTCCATGTTCTAAGACAAATCTCATCACCAGTAGGATCTTCCCTCCACCGTTATCCCCATTTTCATTACAGTTAGTAAGTGGATGGCCAGAACTTGAACCCAGATCTCTTCAGTATCAAAATATTTACTTGAAAAATACTTTGCTGTCCATCGAAGTCCCATCTTCCAAGGAGTCTGGATTCTAGAGTTGTTGCATAAGCAAACATTTGCCATGAGGGAAGACAAGCGCCCTACCCACTGCACTCTCTCCAGCCCTCGCAGGCAATTTTGATAGTTCCATGTGTTTTCATGTATTTTAATATGTCCAAATCTTGTGTTCCTGTTGCTTGGAGGGAGTTACTAATGCAGATGTGCGTTCTAGTGCACTCAGGAATTACTCCTGTCGGTGCTCGGGGGACCACATGAGATGTTGGGAATAGAACCCAGCTCAGCCGAGTGCAAGGCAAATGCCTTACCCACTGTACTATCGCTCAGGCCCCTCTTTATATGCTTTTATACCATCTTTATTTTAAAAAACCCAAAGTGGGGGCTGGAATGATAGCACAGCGATTAGGGCGTTTACCTTGCATGCAGCCGACCCAGGTTCGAATCCCAGCATCCCATATGGTCCCTTTAGCACCACCAGGAGTAATTTCTGAGTGCCAAGCCAGGAGTAACCCCTGAGCATCACCGGGTGTGACCCAAAAAAGCAAAAAAAAAAAAAAGCCCAAAGTATGGTAAACATGATGCTATAGCACTGTTATTCTTCCTTTACCTACTGTCTTTGCAAAGAACTATTGAAGTTTTACTTATATACTTTCAGAAACTTGAATTTTTATCCCACAGAGATCAGAAATGGTTTCAAGGTGGGTGATAATGTCTTTCCGTTGGACCCGAATGCCACCTGCTTCTGTGAACTGCTTCCCTACCATTGGCAGGACCATTATTAAGTGTTCTTGGATATAAAAGGAGTGAAAAAACACATTTCATTTTTGTGGCTTAAAAGCATTTTTCTTCTTTTAAAGGTGGAAAAATTATTTTTACTTTGCTTATGGAATAATATGATAATGATTATAAAATACAGTTATTCCTTTGCGTATTTTTCTCTTAGTTTGGTTTGCATTCTTTCTGGTAGGGAAAAGAAGACTTCCAGTTTTCAACAACACAGAAGATAAATGATAATGTTGATTCTTGGTGTGCAGGATGTCTATTAGTTTTCTTTGTGGGCCGGATGACAAATGCAAGACAAACAGAAGGGCAGTTAGAATTTATTTATTGGAACCTTTGTAATGTGGCTCGTCTTGGACTCTTCCTTGCTTTTCTATCCCAGGCGAGGTTCTTACCATACCACCGTTATAATTTATTCCTAATTGCAACTCGATCAAAGTATTTTCGTGCCTTATCCTGAATTGGTTGAATGTCCTTAGATTGTTCATTAAACTGTAGCTGAAAGCATCCAGGCATGTTTGGGCGAGGCAAACCTCCGTGCATGTGTGCCTGATTCCTTTGCCAATTCTTCCAGAAGAGCTGATATGCTATACGTGCACTGTGCAGTCCTAATTTGGGGTAGAATCTTCATAGGCCGTGTTGATTTTTTTTTCTGTCTGTGTTTCAGCTCCTTATGAAACTAGACAATCCCTTGTCCAGTCCGAAGGACCCACGTCGGGGGGCCCAGGAGCCAAGACCCCTCGGCATCAGGCTTCCCTTCTCCGGGTAAGTAGAGCTGTGGCGTTATGTATGGGAGAGCAGTGACTAGCTTCGGACTCATGGACATGGGCTTTGTGTGGACTGTACAAGTGTATCACTATGGATTCTTTGTTCAGTGTATTTGGTCCATATCGGCAGTGCTCTGCGCTTACTCCTGGCTTTGTGCTCAGGGATCACTCCTGGCTGTGTTTGGGGGACCATATGTGGTCACAGGGATCAAACCCAGGTTGGCTGCATGCAAGGCACCTTGCCTAGCCTGTGTACTCTCTCTTCGACCCCGTTTTTATTACTATTATTTTGTAGTGCTGAGGTTACAACCCGTGGCAGGTCTCACGTTTGCAAAGCATGTGTGTTCCCACTGAGTTCATCCCTGCTCACTGGCCCTCTTTTTGATTGTGAGGAAGATTTCAAGCTGCCTGCTCTTCCTCGGTCCTTTCTACTATGTGTGTTTCTATCCAGTCTCAGTTTCTCCATCTGGGCATTAAGCCACAGGGCATTATGGCACTAAACTCATCTTTTATTTGTTTGTTTGTTTGTTTGTTTTTGGCTTTTGGGGTCATACCTGGCGATGCACAGGGGTGACTCCTGGCTCTGCACTCAGGAATTACTCCTGGTGGTAGCTCAGGGGACCATATGGGATGCTGGGAATCAAACCCACATTGGCCGCGTGCAAGGCAAACACCCTACCTGCTGTCCTATCACTCGAGCCCCTAAACTCGTGTTTTAAAGGTTCATCAACATGGGCACCAAAGACATGTCCAAAATGCTCTTCCATCTACCTAACCATTCATCGGCTTAATCATTAAGTCCCTTCTGATGATAAGAGACCTGCCAAAAAGCCTGGCTCACCTCTGCCTTTTTCTTTGTTATTCTTCAGTTAGTCCTTACTCATCTCTTGCCCGTTTGTTCTCTGCCTCCCGTTTTATTACAGGCCTTTGGAAGGCAGAAGCAGTCAGTCTCATAATCCATTTTCTGTGCTTAGACCCACACCATTTGGAGAGCAGCTGTTCCCTAAGTGGCCATGGCCACTATCCTCTGTATATGATATATACCAAAGAATCACTATGGCAGAAGCACTGGCTATAAGTGAGTTTCTTCTGGCTACGCCATGGGGTAGACCAGAAGGGCTTCACTTCCTTCAGTGTCTTCCTTCTAGTCAGGAGCTTTTCCTCATTTTCCTCTGTTCCTGTGTAGAATCTCTGGGATTCCCATACAGGGGAACTCGTAGTCTTGAGTGAAGCGTGTGAGTGTGAGCATGTAATTATGCAAAAACAAAACAAAACTGGGTATCACTGTTTTTTTTTTTCTTTTTTGGTTACACCCGGCAATGCTCAAGGGGTTACTCCTGGTTCACGAACTCAGGAATTACTCCTGGCAGTGTTCGGGGGGCCATATGGGATGCTGGGAATCGAAACCGGGTTGGCCGCATTCAAGGCAAATGCCCTACCCGCTGTGCTATTACTCCAGCCCCCTGGGAATCACTGTTTGACCCTAAAGACAAAAGGATGGTAGAGTGGGTTGTATATCGTTTTGATCATCAAACTTGGGAAGAAAGAAGGATCCTTTATGCGCTGGCTGTGGTGCTCAAAATAGAAGATGGTGTCCAGGGTTCACATCAAGAAGTGGCTGGTCGTGTGGAGCAGAAAAGGCAGAGGTGCAGGCCAGTCATGGTATTTAGTGACCACAGCCTGGGAATAAGGCTCTGTGAAAGCCTGGTGCAGAACTTCATCTCTAAAGGGGCACTCCGTGAGCAGAGGGCTATCTTCACAATCATATTTTAGTCACAGAGATGCACTTATATCAGCGTGTCCATGGTTACAAGGGCCAGGCACTGTTCTGTCCATTAGTATAAATGTGCTAACTGTGACTGTGAGAGGTCAAGTAATGACTCTGAGGTATCATTCACAACTACCAAGTAGACAGCCAGAATTTGCGCCCAGGTCTGTCCAGTGTCAAAACATCCTTGAAAAATACTTGGCTGTCCATCTGAGTTTCATATTCTCAGGAGCCTGGGTTCTGGAGTTGTTGCATAACTAAGCATTGGATGTAGAAAAAAAAGATCTTGAAAATCACTTACCAGCGGCTGGAGCTATAGTTCAGCGGGTAGGGCGTTTGCCTTGCACGCGGCCAACCCCGGTTCAATCCCCAGCATCCCATATGGTCCCCTGAGCACCGCCAGGAGTAATACCTAGTGCAGAGCCAGGAGTAACCCCTGAGCATCGCCAGGTGTGACCCAAAAAGAAAAAAAAAGAGAAAAAGAAAAAAAATCTCTTACTGACAACCACCTGCAAGAGCCAAAGTGCTGTTCTATCAGTGTAGACGAGCTTGATTGTACCCCAAGCTAGAATAGGTAGCTGTTCCCTTAGCGGCGCTGTCTCAGATGTAGTAGGCGACGACATCTTGAGGTCCTGTGAAACGCTACTACATGTTCTGTGGGCTGGGAATGTCGCACAATAGTGGAACTTCCCTTGGTTGTGTGAGGCCCCTGGATGTAATCTGGGAACTGCAAAATAAATACATAAATGCAAATGTAAAGCTTGGGGGAATACCGCTCAGCAGCACAGAACACAGGACCAGCCACAAACATCAGTGTGTGTTTCTGCACGCCCATCATGTGATGCCTGTTGCTGTGTGATGGTTACCCTAGGCAAGGTATGTGAGGGACTCAACTCAGCTGAAGAATGTTGGGGTCTGGCTGTGTTTTGCCAGAATCCGGAGTAGTTAGGATCGTACCACCGTGCTCCTGAGCTTGGTAGTGGTCGCACAGCACTGGCCAGACCTTTGCCACCTAGTCCTCTGGATAGGATAGCCATCCCGAGGTGTGGCTTCTCTTCTGAACTCTGTGTACCTTTTTCCTGCCAACACCTTTGCTTCTTGTATACTCCTTTCAAGAAATGTTTAGTGGGTTTGGCGCTAGAGTCCAGTGGATCAGGCGCTTGTATTGCTTCCCAACCTGGGTTTGATCCCTTGGCATCCCCTATGTCGGTTTCTTGAACCCACTAGGAGTGATCCCCGAGCTTAGAGCCAGGAGTAAATCCCGAGCACCACTCCAACCCCCGGAATAAAACTCAAGAAAACAAAAACACATTGCATTCCCTCGTTCCATATACCACAGATAAGTGAGATCTTCCTTTTTCTGGCTTATTTCATTTAACATGATTATCTTGCAGTTCCAACCAGGTTTCAGGGAATTCATGATTTCATTGTTCCTTACCGTCTTCCTGTTCTTAGCGTTTTATAGAAACCATCTTTTTGAATAATGCATAGAGTTATCTTAGGAGTGAATTTCTTTCGTCATCCCATTTTCCGGATTATAAAACTTGGCTTTTATTTTATTTTTTAAAAATTTCCTTTTGGGCCTGGAGAGATAGCACAGCGGGTAGGGCGTTTGCCTTGCACGGTGCCGTCCTGGGTTCGATTCCCAGCATCCCATATGGTCCCCTGAGCACCACAAGGAGAAACTCCTGAGTGCAGAGCCAGGAGTAACCCCTGTGCATCGCTAGGTGTGACCCAAAAAGTGACCCAAAAAGCAAAAAAAAAAATTCTTTTTGTTTATTGAGTCACCGTGAGATAAGAGCATCACAAAATTATTTGTGATTGAAGTTTAGTCATACAGTATTCCAACAGTCCATCCACCACTGTAATTCCCTAGCACCAGTGTCCCCAGTTTCCCTCCCATCCCTTCGAACCACCGCCCCATCCCAGCCTTCCTCTATGGCAGGCACCTCTCTTCTCTTTCTCTTTCTCATTCTCTCTCTCATTTTAGGCATTATGTTTGCAATACAGATGCTGAAAGGTTATAACATCTATCCCTTTACCTGCTTTCAACACTCAGCTCTTGTCCAGAGTGATCCTTTCCAACTAGTAGGGCTGGAGCGATAGCACAGCGGTAGGGCATTTGCCTTGTGCACAGGCAGCCCGGCCAATCTGGGTTCGATTCCTCCACCTCTCTCGGCGAGCCCGGCAAGCTACCAAGAGTATCTTGCCCGCATGGCAAAGCCTGGCAAGCTCCCCTTCACATATTCAATATGCCAAACACAGTAATAACAAGTCTCACGATGGAAACGTTACTGGTGCCCATTCGAGCAAATCGATGAACAATAGGAGGACAGTGCTACAGTGCTACTGGACAGACACACGAGTCACGTGACTTTACCCCTGTGCTGGCAACCCAGTCCCCAGCGATACGTTGTCATAATGGACCCTCCTCTGTCTTAACTACCCTCCATCCCCTACACCCTTATAGTAATTCCCAACCTTTGATGAGTCCGCCTGGCCCATTTTCCCTGCCCATGGATATTAGTTTCATACAAAACCTGGCTTTTAAAGACTTTATTTCATTACCTAAGAGCTGTGGCTGTGCATGAGGTTTGACAGCGATGGGGCTATTTGAAGAATTTAAGGTACGAGGGAGAAAAAGATGGAAAGGTTCTTCACCAGGTCTAGTCAGACTCTGTGTGGACCTGGGCTAGTCCCTTCTTCTGCAGCGTGAATGACTTATAATGGACTGAACCATTCACTGAACAGAAGGGGTCAGGATGATAGATCCTGGGGGACCCCGGGTCGGTGGTAATGCAGCCCATTGAGGTGGCATTTTAGAAGTGGTTCATGCCAACTTCAGCATCCAAGCTTTGGAATAAGAAGTCTTTTTTTGTTGTTTGTTTGCTCTTTGGGTCACACCTGGCGAGGCACAGGTGTTACTCCTGGCGCTGTACTCAGGAATTACTTCTGGCAGTGCTCAGGGTACCATATGGGATGCTGGGAATTGAACCCGGGTCCGCCGTGTGCAAGGCAAACGCCCTGCCATCTGTGCTATTGCTCCAGCCCTTGAATAAGAAATCTTATTGCTTACTTTGGATTTCAATTTTTTTTTCTTGTTGTTGTTCAGATGTTGGATTTTTCCTACCTTGAAATTCAGATAGCTAGAGACCATGTTCTGGTCAACACTGATATGTAAAGCGTGAAGTCTTCTGGAACTGGAGACTTCGTAGAGCAACATGGGCTCA